CACACACACACACTCATACACACAAACTCGAGCCAAATGGCTGAATATGGTGGCAGAATCTTATCCACATAAATTAAACAATTTGAACAATAATTATCAATAATCTTTTCTTCATAACATGGCCATGAGACAGCTCGTTATCGCTATCATCCAGTATGTCGTCGTTTGAGATTAAAAAGGTTCTACATGTAGGTCTATCTGCATTTTAGGTAATTTTGAGATATGGTAGTCAAAGTTTGTGATTGCAAAAGTAGATAGAACTTTCTTTGAGTGCATTCTTGTCGGAAGAGAAAGGTGTTTCTAGAAAGAAACGCAGATCACTGTTTAGTACGTTGCAGATAGAACCCACAAAAAACCGTATCGTACCTCGAAATGTCCACAAAACGCAGATAAACTCTTACTTTAACCGTATCCGTACGCCCTGGGGTCATTTTAACCCCGTGGTAGTGTTCTTCACATTTTAGAAAATTTCTAGTACGAAGATCTCTTTGAAACGTTCCGTATTTCTCAAAAAATCATTTCCACAGACTGCTATGCAAAGCGTACGGATCTGATTCACGATTAAATGTCCTCTTTGATTGTGGCGGCACAGAGTTCCCCACGTCGTATGGATACGATAGTAAAACACGACGTACTGATGGGGTTAACTATTACTATCATACGACGATGTAGCGTCTGGCTGTTAACTCACTGACTACAATATGCATTCTTTAGCTTTAGGTCCTAAAGAGTTAACGTGTTTTTCTCAGCTTTGGGTTTCCCGAAGTTCATAGCCGAAAACGCTTTGCTTGGTCAAATATTGAGATACGTTGTTAGTAATCCGTGGCATGGGGGAAAACGAAAGGGCTTTCAAAAAGCAGTGTCAGCTTTAAAACTGTCGAAAAAATGACTATGTGCCTGATTTTACCAGACCACCACACACATGGCGTCTTTGGTAAACTAACCTCCATGTCAGTCAGCTGCTGACGCTAGGGCATACATGAACTAAAGAAAAAAAAAACATGGAGAAATGAGAAACCCAAACTAACTGTTTTGATAAAACAAGCATCATTATTGAGAATCTGTCGACCTGAAACCATTTTGACTTTTAGTAATCAGTACACGTACAGCCTTCCCGTAGACAGGCGCGGTTGGTCCATAGAGCACGGTCATGCAGTTCCGCCCCTATGTTCTAAATGGTCTATTATGTAAAGCATCCACAATAATGAAATAAAAGAAGCCAGAAACAAACACCAGCCAAATATTATATCAAAACAAGGTATCCTCGCTGGCGCGGTAGCTGTCATTTATGTGTCCATAGCGCCGTAAAACATCTACTATGACATCATGCCAAAGTCCACGCGCTTTAAGAAAACATTAGGATTCAACAGTGGTAACCTGACCTATAAATCGCTCTTTGGGATAACCCAAGCGATGACGACACTCGTAGCGAGTTTGGCGGTACATTAATATTAATAAGACGGTACATCTTAAATGTGCTCCTGTCGAATAGAGCCGAAACATAACCCACAGTAGGCAGTCTAAAAATAAACGCGATAGACTGACTGTACACTATTCTATTGCCGAAATCATGCGAGCCCCGGAGCAATCCTGCAGAGTGCTCATGTGACTTGTTATTGGTTCATTGTCTTGCCACTATTTTAAGTGACTCTGTGACCGTGAAACTGAAGGAGGTGAACGCGACATACTTAATTAAGTCACCGTCATTATGAGTTGTGCCTTTGAATTATTTTGAAGTGGAGTGGTAAAAGCTATTAATAAAATGTTCAGTTCTAATGCAGGATGAACAAAACTGATGTTTATCCAACAAACAATTTTAGTTCTAGAATTCAATGCAAAGAGTAAAAAGGATGCAGATAAAAGCACGAGGCCCTCCCTCACCAACCCAAAGATCCTAAAGTTATACACCATCTCATTTATTATGCTGTTAGTAGCAGGGAATTAAAAAAAGGGTTTGAGACATAGTAGGTTTTTCAAATGAAATATAATTTCAACGTTTCGCCCTGTAAAGTGCTTCTTCAGGATCATGTACAAAAACAAATGAAAATCTATTGACTACAAGCTATAGCAACAAAAGTGCGCGCATACACGTCATAATGTCAAAAGGTGTGATAAAAATAAATCGGGAAGACCAGAGAAAATTGAAGGCTATGGCAAGAAGTGGTATGAATATAAAATGGTATGTATGTCAAATCATATGTTGTATATATCATTAATATGAATGTAAAGGTAATTAATAGTGCTAGTAGTAGCAGCGCAGCAGCAGCAGCAGCAGTAGTAGTAGTAGTAGTAGTAGTGTGAGTCGCAGTAGTAGTAGTAGTAGTAGTAGTAGTAGTAGTAGTAGTAGTAGTAGTAGTAGTAATATTTATTATGCTGCTGATTATCTTCAGCCTACGATAACGTAATTGTGCCCGCCCACTTTTTAGCTACACGAGCCGCCACTGCCAGTAGAGTAGTTTTGGTGATCAAATTAAGCTCGGTATCATGAGTGATCTCTACGAACGCTAGAGATTTCTTGACTCACAGTTGTTCGAACAAGGGAAATCTGAAGATATGATATCAGCAATGTACTCTCAGTAGGCTAATGTACTTTCGAAAAAAAGGGACAACTTTTGCTACATGATTTTGGTGCATTAATTTATTATTTTTGTAAGTTTAACCTGGTTTAACATTGTCCCAGTTGTGGATATTGGGTCGGGTCAAGTGTGGAAGAACGAAGAAACAACTCGTCTCCGCACAGCAAGCCAAAAAGCTCTCTCCGATGATGAAATGAAAAACCTTGCTATGAAAAGAAAAACTAGTAGTAAACCGACTCCTCAATTTGTTTTTCTAACCCTGCTCTCCCTCTCTCTCTCTCTCTCTCTCTCTCTCTCTCTCTC